CCCTGCCGAGAGTTATTTTAAGTTGGCTATTGGTTGTACCGCCATTGCCTCTCTGCTTTACTTTTTTTTTTCTTTTTTGATGAGAAAGCCTCTCTGCTTTACTTGCGCTGTTCTCAAGCAAGCCAGAGAGAGGTGTCGAAGGGCCATTTTAAAATTTTGATGGGCCGTAAGCCAGACAGAGGTGTCACTGTTGTAAATTCTTGAACAAAGCACTTGTAGTTATGGTCCTCTATTTTTCTCAACGATATTTAGATTGGACGCTGTTATATATGCTTACGGATTGACCATTTGCAGTTCTTCATGAAGATGATTATTTCTGTCCTCCGTGTTTTGGCTGATGTGTTTGGATGCTCTCTTTCACTGAAGATGAAGATGATGCTGATGGTGTTAGGCATCGAAATCGCTGACTCCTGATCGGGCCAAAGGATCCCGGTCAGAGCCTCGGCTGTGACAGCTAACAAGTCAGGGTGGACACGGTCCGGGCCAGTCACAGTTCCGGTTCGAGCCGTCGTTTGGACCGGCCGCCGGCAGGCCAGACCGGACCGGACCGAGCAGGCGAGCGGTCCTGTTTTGGGGGACCGGACCGGCGCTGACAAAGCCCGAGCCAGACCGACTGGACCGAATGGACCGGCCAACAACCACCGGCGTCGATGTGTGCGATGCAGCGGCGAGGTGGGCTACGTGCATGACTGATGTGACGAAGTGGACGACGCGCGCCAGAAATTAGCTAACAACTGAAACTTCGGCGAAACAAACAAACTGAATTTTCTGAACCTGTTGGAACAGAACCAGCGTAGCTCTCTCTCTCTCTCCGTAACTACCGGTCCTCGTCTCTAGTGCATGATCGCACAAGCTTATCCAGATGAGTTATTTACGGAGATTGTTAGCGTAGTGGCTGCACCTGCATCCTCCTCTTCTCTGTACATCTGTAACACTCGACAGATACATGAACATATGACATATTTCCCTCCTATTGCTCCTTCTTACACTGACGAAACTGACGAAATTGAAGTGCTTGAGAAATCCCAACGAGCACAGAGGGACTCCTCGAACAGCAGCGGTGGCTTCACCTTTAGAGCGTTTGGATCATGCCCAGTTATTCCTGGTAGTGCCGGCGAGGCGTTTTCCTACCTGGGGCAGTTGGTAGCCGGTGTACGTGATGTCGCCATGGGAGGAATTGGTGCCAGGTTTGGGGTCGACTCCATGGTCGAGAACTTCAGATCGGCGGCGGTGCACGTATGGCAACAATGGCGAGCTGCGCCAAGAGGCTATGGCACACTGGGAGCTGAGGAAGGGATGAGAGGGGAAGCGCGGGGACATGATGGTTCACATGGGGGCTGTCGGTGGCCACGAAGACGAGGAACGGCGGCGGCGGTGACTGCGTGTTCTTGGTCCGACCGAGCGGCTCGGTTAAATACCGGACCAGACCGACATTTTCTCGTGCCGAAAACTGCAGCCCGGACCGGTCCAGTTTTTCCATCGGGCCTGGACTGTATGGTCCGGTCCTTAACGGGCCACGAGCGGGCCGAAAAGCTTGCTCGTGCCATCCACCCACCCTGACTGACAAGCATCATCAACCAGAAACTCCTACTTGCCGCTCGCTGCGGCAAGCTGTCGACGCTTCGCATAGGGGAGGTGTGAGAGAGCGACCGAGTGGGCCGGCCCGTTTTACAGCAGACACCGGTTTCCCAGCCGGTTTTTTTCGGTTTTGTGAACCTTCAAGAAGGTTCCTCAACCGGCTTTTTCATTTTCAGTTTCTATTTCGTTTTTCTTTTTTCTATTTCTCTTCTTTTTCTTTTTTCTTTTTTTCTGTTTCTTTTCTTTTTACTTTTTTCTGTTTTTTTCTTTTTCCTTTTTTTCTTTTCAAGTTTATTTTAAAAAAAACCGAATTTCAAAAAAAAATCCTGTTTTTCAGATTTTGTTCAAAAATTCATAAAATGTTCCCATTTTACAAAAAAAATTCATAAATTCAAAAAATGTTTCTGGTTTCAAATTTTTGTCATGGATTTCAAAAAATGCCTGTTTTTAAAATTTGTTCACAGATTTCAAAAAATGTTCTTATTTTTCAAATTTTTGTTCACGTATTAAAAAATTGTTCACATTTCAAATTTGTTTGGGATTTTCAAAATTGTTCTCCATTTTACAATTTGTTCTAAAAATTCAAAATTTGTTCGTTATTTTTTAAAAAAATTCCATTTAAAAATTTTGTTTGAAAATTCTAAAAATGTTCATGTTTACAAAAAAATTGTTCACAATTCAAAATTTGTTCTCCTTTAAAAAATATTCATGCTTTTCAAAAATCACTATTAAAATACTTGTTCAGATTTTCGAAAAACTTGTTTGTGTTTATCAAAAATTAATCATAATAATTATTATTTTTAAAAGTGTTTTGTTCTGGAGTTTCATATGTGCACGCGGCTTTCTCCTTTCAAAAATCGCATTTTTTGAGGAAATGTTTTGATTTTTCCCGAAAATGTTTTCTCAAAAGATTTGGGGTGGTGCTTGCACAAATTCCTGCTTACACAGTTGTTTCAGTTGTCAGCATACAATCAAGAATCAAGCCATACCATGACCCTGGCTGCCTAATCCAGGAATTCGGTGACAGACGTTGGTTGCGTGTGGCATGGCATGTCGTTCTTATGTTTCCTTCTTCTCCTTTTCTGTTATTGTGTTTCCGCGCGCCTCCGTTGCTCTCCGTTTTTGTCCAATCCAATAATGGAATAAATCTTGTATGCAAGTACCCGATCTTAAGCCCCTGTTCGAAGACCCGCCACTCTACCACTCCGCTTCCGGAGCTTGAGTTAAAAAGCACGGGGCTGGGAAATAGATGCTCCGCAGCTCCTCGTATTTTTAGGAGCTGGTGTGACTCCGAACAAGACCTAAGTTTCTATTTATACAACTTTCACCAAGACAGCTTAACCGGTTTCACCATCTGGCGTGACACATCTGTTATCCCACTAAAATACGCAACCGGACTACCATCTCGAAACAGTCTTTCGCCCCCCTTTATAAACAAAGGCACAAACGGCCGAACGATGCGTAGTAGTGAGGAAACCCTCGTACAAGCAGGTCGAAACGAAAGATAAAAAAGGCAGTAGGCAAATGGCACAAGTGCCACTAACCCTACGCCAAACATGAAGAGTAGGATAGGCCACTCCTAACACACTACTACCAAGACAACTAGAGAGGATCGGAGCACCCTCATACAAGCAGGTCGAAACGAAAGATAAAAAGGCAGCAGGCAAATGGCACAAGTGCCACTAACCCTACGCCAAACATGAAGAGCGGGATAGGCCACTCCTAACACACTACTACCAAGACAACTAGAGAGGATCGGAGCCGCGCCGCCAGGAGAAACCACCGTGCAACGAGGACCCGAACACACCGAGCCATCTCCGGAGAGGGCCGACTCATCGTCCAGACAACCCCCTCGCTCCGGGCCATGGAGCGCCGCTCCTGCCAAGAGACGGCAAGGACCGAGAACGGAGACCACGAGGACACGTCTAAATGATAGGCGGTCATTGACACCTCCCCTCGCCAGGAGCAAGGATGCACTATGCCAGCGAGACAGCAAACCCGACGCCAAAGCCATCTGCAACCGAGAGGAACCGAGGTCCACAACGACGCCCTCAAGAGGGTGATGACACCGAGCGCCACCGTCGTCGAGTCCAAGAGGTGGGCTAGGACTTTCACCCCGGACCCCTGGCACCTTTAGGGGCCCCAAAGCAATGCCCCCAAGAGGGAAGCGACATCCGTAGGTGCCGTCGTTGCCGGCGCCGGAGCGCAGAGCTTTCGCTTGGACCCGCACAAGCGCCACCTGCGGACTCAACGTTGCTGGCCCACCCCAAGAGGGGAAGCCACGGCCTTTGCTCTAGGCCTCCAGATCCAGACCAGGGGAGCGCCATTGACGAAGACATGACGCCACCAGGGCCACCCACCACCCCTCCCCTTGCTACCCACATAGCCAAGAGAAGGCGCCACCACCGCTGCCATGCCGCCCGCCGTAGAGCCACCCGTGCAGCCTCACCATCCAGGGTCGCCACCCCGACATCCAAGATGAACCCACCACAACCAACAACGCAACATGACGACAAAGGACAGGCAGCCGGACACGGAAAACGTCAGAGCGGAACCACCGTCGGTCAGGACCGGACATCCCCGATGCCAATCCACACGCAAGGAGCTCCACCTCGGTCGGGGCGCGGATCATTGGGTCAGCCAACATCATCGCCGGGGCAGCCCAATCAGACGGGCCGCCGGAGCCGTGGGTCTCCACGGGCCGCCGGAGCGCTCACGCAACACGCGCGCGCGCGCGCACACACACACAAAACACACATTAGCTTCGCGTAG